GAGAGAGAGAGAGAGAGAGAAAGATGAACGCGTTGAAAGTATCGCGATAAATTTTCGTTCTGTGTAATTTTCTCCTAAGGAAAAACCGAGTTCGAACCTTGGCGAAGTAAAAGCTCGTTGCGTGTATCTTTCACAGGATCTACTTGGCCGCGTTCGTGTGCGCAAACTCGTTTCCGCTTGCATCGTCGTTCTCGCCTTGTCGGTGCGATTTGCACGCGAAAGTTCGGGTTGAAATATTAATTGGTCGTGCCGCGCTGTATAAATCTACGTATACACCTGCCCGGTGAAGCCCGGAAAGAGCGGGAAGAAGGAGCGGGACGTGCGAGTGGGAGCGGCGAGCGAAATAATTCATTATGTTCTGGGATACAATGTAGCTCATCTGAAACAATGGCAGATGAGAGAAAGTGGCAGAATAATTTGCAAAAATGGAATTCTGTCGGTGGCCGACAGCCGCTGGTATGCGTATCGCATGAACGTCGGGGGAAGGGGGAGGGGGGGGAGGAGAGGAGAAGGGAAAGGGTCGGCGAACATCGGACATAAGGCTGGGAATAATTGCGATTCGCTGTTACGGCCTTGCTTGACGAATGAAATTCCATGGTCGGAATAAAATTCCAAATTTGCGGCGCGAATGTTGCGCTGCATCCCCGGGGGCACATTGCGGTTCAACTATTAAGTTATTCATAATTGCACCCTAATTGCAACACATTCAGCATGCGTCAAATTTCATGCTGCTCATTCGGCTCGGGAGGTCTTCGTGAATTAGAGCGCTAATTTAAGCGCGAAAATTTAGGACGATTAGCAATTTGTAGCACAATTAAAAAAATGAGATTAAAAATTCACATTTTACTTTCCTTTTACAAAATTTTTTGGAAAAATCTCTCTAATTGTCGATATATTTATTATTTCTCTTCATATGATTAAATATTACTTCTTTCTGTAATTGTTAGATGTTTATACAATTGCTCGTTTAAATCCTATATAATTATTGACCACTCTTGTGTGGCGACTCGACTGAGAAATGATAAATAAAAGGAAAAATGTTAGCACAAGCTTTTGAAAAATAAAATTTCTCTTATAAATGAAAGATTTCAAGAGAGATTACGTCACAAAAAATTGAGGTATTTCATTCAAACATCAGATTTGCCCACGAGATGAAAGAGTTAATAACATTTTCCGTGGTACTATTTATATATTTTATTTACAGTTGTGAAATTTACAAGATAATAACGGCATGATATGATTCATGCATGAAAGCTTTGGAACTGACAGGTGGACGGACGGAAAGAATGGAGAAAAGAGAGAAAATAGGATGCGAAAGGGTGAAAACGATAGCCGGAGAAACGGGCGAGTGGGCGAAACGCGATGAGGGAAGGGTCGAGAGGGGAAACGCGAAATGGCACTAAATCAGCCGCGGGGCTGTAAAATCATTAGCGCTAATAACCGAAGGCTCGAAAGAGAACGACGGCTCCCGATATTCAATTATGTTTCTGCGGTTTGCACGCGAGGAAGGTGAGACGGTCTATCTCTGCTATTGACATTTTAGCTTCGATCGGCTGTACTCACGTCTCGTTATACCTCGCGCGGGGCATTCGACACTCATAAAAATTATCGAGGCGGTTTGAGTCCGCGTCCGGATGATATATCGCTTTCCAATGGTTCGTCGATGATAATGACGGTCTATTATTACAGGCGGCAGCTGGCAAATGCAAGCGATCTTCGCACGCACTTTATGCTCTGTCGTGTGACGCACGAATGCGATCGTGTCGCAATGTTTTATTCCGATTGTGAAAAATTTCTTACAAATTTTTCTCGTTTCTAAGTATCTTCTAATTTTATTCTAATTCCTAAAAGATTATTTCTTCGAAAAAATAATACATTTAAATATTTATTTTTGAAAAAATCTGGGAAAAAGTGATGTGTCGGCAATAAGAGAAAAATATCGCTCTTGATTTAGTGAAGCTATCATAGAAATTCAGAGTGTTGAATTATTAATATTTAATATATTAATGAAATATATTTTGAGGAGAATATTTATGAAAAATTTACAAATGCACAATATAAGTAAAATTTTCTAGGACTGCGAAAAATAATCTACCCGCGTAATACTATAAAGGATATTTTTTGCTCTTAGATTGTATTAATTAATCAAAGCGATGCATGTGAATTGACTTCAATCACGGAATGGACAGCCTAATTTCTGCTTTTGACGTTACGCTGTTATAGAAAATCAATGATCTGAAATTTGGGCCACTGCACCCCGGAGCAATGTTCACTGTCACAACAATAGCTCAGCTGCTAAGATTAACGTTGCGTCAATAATGACATGAATGACCGATAAAGTTTTCAAAACGCGATATCTATGTGATCATTATGTGAATTTCACGTCAATCTGTGAATTTATGTAATATCGGTCAATCATCACTCGTGCATTTCGATTATTAACTCCTGTATGTCGTCCCTACTCCTCCTCCTCTTTTCATCCTTTCCATCGGCTTTCGCAAGTCGGTTGCAATTAGCACGCTCAACTTCGACAGTTTAATTAAGCGGTCTTTGACTCGTATTCCCGCGATTCGAGCTTAAGCCGATCTTAGACTAGTTTAATTGTGAACTTTCGCCATTACTCTTCAACGTTATGTCTGGCGTTGATCGACGCAGTGGAAGGTGTAAACGATAATGCACGCCGAAGTGCCAAATATCTTGCCGAACAACGTATCCGCGCATCTCAAAATATGCTTTGAGCTCCTCGCGGATTAAAAGGGATAAGTCATCCTAATTCTATCTCATATTCAATTTCATATTTTTGTTTTATACTCAATATTTACTTGAACTTGCAATTTATATCATACTGTAAAAAAAGTTAGTGTAAAATTACACAACTATTATAGGAAATTATTTTGGGAGAAATAATTATGGATATAAATTTTCACACGTTTGGTAAATTTACAGCTTGAAGGTAGAATTAATTTCTAGTGCTATAATGAAGCAAATCGCAGAAGTAAATTCGTAGTTATTTTATATATATATGTATTCATTTGTTCCATTTATTTCATTACAATACTAGAAATTAATTTTACCTTCAGGCTACAAATTTATACACAGGTGGAAGTTGACATCTATAATAATTCCCAAATTACCCACTATAATAGCTGTAATTCTACACTAATTCTCTGCAGTGTGCTTGCTACATATTTCATGATAAAATATATCGATTCGAAGTATCTTACAAGGCAAATCAACGAAATCTTTAAGAAAATTATGTATATTTTAATAGCTTAATATCAGGCGTATAAGTTTCAGAATGTAAAAAAATATTGGATACACAATTCCTCGACAGAAATGATTTTATAAATAGCACTGTCTATACGTGTGAGGTGTGCATGTCTCTATATTTTATCAAATCAGTGGCTAAATCTAGGAAAAGATAAAATACTCACAAAGTTGTTAGCAGCATGCCAGTCTCGATCGGCAAAGTGCCTAAGTTTACGTATTTGCGGTCGACCCGCGACGCTGGGAATAGTTATCAAACGCCGAGGTTATTGCACGCTGCACCTGCAGCCTGTCTGCAACTTGGTGGCGTGCAATGACGCGAGAAGGGCGTGAGTCTTTGTTTCCGGAATAATTAATCTCGACGAGTGTCAACGGGGAACACTTCCGAGTCTCCGAGCAACTTCCCTCAACGTCTCGTTGTCACCGAGTGCAGTTAGTTGCTTCTTCTGAAACGACCGACTGCATTAGTATCTGCAAAATTTACGTATCCTCGATTATGCTTCACGATATATCCGTGCGACTAAAAAATGAAAAGAATACATGTCTTATAGATAACGTTCGATCATGCTTTTTTAGGATTTCCGTTCGTTCAATTCAACTGGAAAAATTCTTGTCAGGGGTAATCAATTTTCTACGGGCTTTTGTAATTTAAAGTGAGGTGAATAATAAACAATATAATGGCGTGAATAATGATACGGTGGAATAAATACCTAACAACGCTCGAACCATTTTTATTTTATATGTATCCTGTTGTTCTTTTTTTGAATGATTGATAAATATTTCCGGTTACAAAATGCTATATACATATCTTCTCATTTATTTGAATTACTTTTAAAAACATTTTTTTATCTCTTGTATTGAGAAACGCGAGTCGTTCTTATTGAAAAAAAAACTATATTTCTCCGTTCGCGGAATATCTGCATAATGAAATTTTGCCGTTATCAAAATTAATAATCACACGAATTTCCCTGCGCCGCGCGTGCGTTTGTTCCGCAAAATAAACATTCCACACGTCTACCAGCGGATGCGCGCATTAATTCCAGTAATTCCAGCAATTAATCGTGCATCGAGGACGCGAAGCGTAATTAATAACGAGCGCTTGTCGCGACGAAAGGTCGTACGCGAGTCTAAAGCGACGAGCGATGGAAACGCGCAGAGATCCCCAGGCCGCAGCACCCACCGAAAACTTATGGCTCGGCAGGACGTGTAATTTCCTGTCTACTAGACCGACTTTGCGCCCTCCGCGTTTCTCCCTCTCCCCTCACCCCCTTTCTCTCATCTCTACGCCTCTTGCATTTTCTTGTCGTTGAACGACGATTGCTAGGCTCGAGCCTACAGTCGCAACATACACGCATACTGATTGCTACGAGCTCGTTTATCTTTTCCTTTTTTTCTTCAGCTTAATGACTCCTGCGGGAATCAACGAGCTTATTAAGCGCCCGAGTGTGCACATCCTCATGTCGTACCTCTTTCTTTTAACGAGCCTCGTGTCCCTTAAATTAATGGTCCTCATGTATCAGACACGATACTCGAGCGCGAGCGTCTAGCGAGAAAGTTTTCAGACGCACGACCATCTTTTCAGGAGAAAATCAACGACGTCGTTAAAAAACATGATTTTAAGAGACACATATTAATGGCGCGGCGTCTTAAGGGATCGAACATCAATTAAAATAGTAACAAAATTACCCAAGTTTTTAATGCGTTTACCGCGACGGGATTCGATCGGAAAGTGCGCTTGTCGAAGTGAGCATTGCGTCGGAAAACCGATATTTATTAGATATCGTACATCAGTAGGCTCGTAAAACAAACCGCGAAGTTTCAACCTGATTTTAGGAAGAATTAAAAAGTCAATGAAGCATGCACATAAATTATGCATGAACCATGGAGTTTCATACTTAATAGTAAAGTTAGTAATAGGATAATAGCGAAGTTACTTTGGAGATACGAAAATTACATTTTACGTCGTCGCAGCACAATATTTATCGTTCTTGCTAAACAGCTTACGGTAAGAGCCCGCGTAGCTCCGTGTAAAATCATGGAATTTTATAACGCGCTATTTATGTCTTTCGCGCTAGACACATGCCCGCAGGAACCCGTGCAATTGCATATGTCGGGCCGTACATCCGTTTGCCTCCGAAGGCCTCCCGACTTCCCGAGCCTTTCAAATTAATGAGGTTCATGAATCAGACGCGATACACGGCCCCGTAACTCGGCTGGATTGGATCATTCGGAAACACATGGGTCGTCGGAATGCAATTACTCGCGAAGTGAAAGAGGAAAACGAAAGTTTCGACGAGAGGAGAAAAATGCGGGCGGGAGGTGAGATCCAGGCTGCGCGCGCTCGCGCACGCGACATTCATTATTGCGCGCCCCGTATATGCATATGTGTAATGTCGTTTGAAGGTAGTTTATATTTAAATTTCGTCGCGAGTCTCCAAATATTCGATCAACTTCTCATCATCGTAACGTAAACCGATAACACACAAGCGGAGCGAGAATTTTCGATGGTAGTCGTACATTATATTTTATTCATGCGGCGGCGGCCGCTGCGACAGCGCGCGCCGGCCGTGGCGCGTCAACGCGAGACGCAAAGCCTGCACGACGTAATTATGTACTGAAGAGGCGCAAGAGGAAGAAACAATCTCGCGCAAGATCGATGATGTCGCTTGTTCCTTTCTCTGTTTCCATTTTTCAGGCGCGTTATCTTGTCGCGCGGAGCACGGAGAAACTGTGGAGCTTGCATCGCACGACGAATGCCTTCCATGTTTTAAGCAAGCTTTTTTTCCCTTTCGCCCATTATGCGAGAGTCGCGTTCGTTAGCGCTCGCATTTTTCAGCTTTCAAAAAATTAAGATAATCTAGTGTGTCGCCGAAAAATATTTATTCAGTACACAAGACGTTATTTTTGCTCCTCATTTTACGCGTCCGGTAAAATTGCTACAACGAGAAAGAAAGATGCCTGCATCGATCGTGCGGAACGTCACTCCGGAAGATTTCCAGATATACGTCGCAGAGAGTCCTTTACGGCGCAGATAATAATTCATTTGTTACAGTTTCTCACGTGCGCTATCAACCCCGTTCGAACATGCAAAATGTCAACAAGCGGGAGCACGATTCAACGTTTACGTTGTCGCATGCGACAAGCGGAGATTTGGCCGGCAGGCGGCAAGCTCGTTCACGGTAGTTCGGGCTTCGACTTGCTACTAATCAGCTTAATTTGTAACTTGTAAAACACACAAGCTGGGTCCGCGGTCCTTAACGAAGTTATCCCTTGTTAGGCATCCGCCCCCTTCCCAGATCTCACCGGCTCGACCGTGGCCCGGTCGCCGACTCGTAAAAAGCCAAAAAAAGCAAGAAAAAGAATGCTGTAAAAAAAAAAGCAGGGAACATGTTGCTCGGAACAAAATTACCACCGTTGCTGGCGTCGACGCCAGCAACACCGTCGTGATGGTTTTTAAAAGTTTTTAGCGTCATTATTTTTCCATTGCTTTCGCCAAAACGTCCCGCCGTGCGCCGTTACCGCCGCCGCTACTAGGAAAAATTTTCCTCCCAAAAATTGATTTTTGTTATGTGTCTATCTTCGCCGTTGTTCCCGCGCATTGAAAGTTACACGCTACACAAAGAACAAACTAATTCATTTTTCAACGCGCTGCGCACAGGTTTCAAAAAAACGGGCGCCGGAGCTTCGATTATCGCAACGATGAAACGCGGGAGATTCGACGGTATGGAAACCCGTTCGTCGGAAATGTTTTCCACGTTTTGGAAACATCGACCCAACGAAGAGATTACTTTTATTTCAACGAGCATCACTTCAACTCGTAGTGACGCAATTCAACTATATAGTTTGTGAATGATTCAACTATTACTATCGCGACAGCTTTTCACAATTTAATCGTTTATAAAATAAAGTCAACATAGGGTCGTCGAGTATTATTTATTACGGAAAGCTTCCAGGCAATTGTAGTTTTAATAAAAATGTTCATTTAAGCTTAAAGTAATTTTTGAATGGTACTGTAAATAATTTTTTTATTAGGCACTGGAATCTCATGTCATAAAAATTGGTAGGCCTAGCAATTTGGAATTTATATTTTCTTCACTACAATGCATTGAAACTTTATATTTTAAACAAAGAATATTAAAATGTACATTTTATTTATCTTTATGCCTTAGAATCTTATATCATGTTATTTGGTAGGCCTAGAATTTTATTGCAATGTATTGAAGTTTTATATTTTAGAATTCTAGATTATTTTTTTGTTTAAAATATAAAATTTCAATGCTTCGCAGTAAAGAAAAAGTACAATCAGGAGCATTGAAAGGTCCCCATCACTTTCCAAAAGCATTTACTACATTTTTTATTTTTGCTTAAGTGTTAAATGGCGATTGGCCATTTAATCTAATAAATGTTATAAGATTCTAAGACATAAAATGTACATGTAATATTTTATTAGTAATATGATTAGTTTGTCGCACATGACAAAACGCGCACGGATATATATCTACATTGTATGGCCACGATGAAAAGGATTATTCGCGTCACGTCCGGTGGAAAATTTGGCTCCTCGGCATTTGTTCAAGATAATGGGTAGTCGGTAAAAAGTTTTCACCCGAAAACGACTCTATCCTCGCGAAGTCGTTAACAAAAAGCGGACGAGCCTCCCCCGCCGGAACTTCGTTAACGAACACGGTGGGACAGGTACGTAAACTCCGTGCAAGTCGCGCCGCAGTCGCGGAACATGATGACGCGGGAGAGCGGTAGGAAGTGATTTCCGCAGGAACCACGAGAGACGAATTTAATTCGCTGCAATTATGCACAAGCGCCCAGGGTGGTCGCGAGATGATGATTCTGTACCCGCTGCCAAAATTTAGCGCGGGAAACGACCGCTTCAAGGTGGAGTAGCGGGGATCGCAGTTGACCGTGCCTGCGGGGTAAAACAGACTCCGCCCGTTGCAGTTACCGAAAAACTACTCAATTTGTATTACGAGTCTGGCAGCCGGTGCGATGAAAATTCGACGAGAGAGCGTCTAAAAATATTAAACTGCGTCTGAACGCTACGCATCTGCGACACGGTGTTTACGCGTGACTGCCATTATTGATGAATTTGTCTCAAATTATTGTATACAAGTTTTGTTAATTTAAATTGATCTCAACTCTTTTTCTTTTCTCAGTTACATCCCGAAATTGAAGCAAAAAACGTTTTATTAACATAATTTTATTCTATATTAATTTATAATATCTTTTGGCCGCGCTTGATTCTCAGTCTTATTGTTGTTATTGTTATTTTTACTCTTTTGTGAATTTGTTGACTTTTGAATGATTCGATATACCATATATGTTTAAACTTTTTATACCACATAGAGCACTGCGCTCGTTTATGTATAAATAAATTTTATATTTTATGACATCATAATTCTAATATGAGAGAACAAGACTACAAAAGTATGTTTTATACAGAGCATACTGCGCTTGTC